TTTGTAAATTTATTATGCGTTTAATCAAAGTTCCAAAATAGACCGAACATTATTTCTTCACGATAATTATTTTATGCCATATAATAATCTGTGTAACATGTTAAATAAAACGAAATTATAGGAAATAGCTAACCTTAACTGAAAATGTCACTGTAAAGGTCTTACATTTTGGAAATGATCATGGATAGGAAAAAAAAGTAGAATTGATTATTACAGCAAAGCACGGTTGTTTTTTTCCAATGAAACAAATATTATACATAACGTGAATTCATGTTTACTTCAACTATAAAATGAAGTACATATCAAGTTGTAATTAAATCATGTAGATTTGAATGATGCAAACAATATGTGCAATAGATAGACGTGTTACCTGAATTCGATCAGATCATTTTCAGTGTCAAGTAAGTCAGTTTAATAAAAGAATTTGAAAATCACTACACACATTCAACAAGTCCTATCCTGATTTTTATTCAGATTTGTTTTTAAAGAATCATAAAGACCTTAAAATGATCTCATTTCTTGAAGAATATTGTAATGGATTATATATATAGGCATTTAGACATTTGTCTGATTTCGATATGAATAAGACTTGACTAACTGACTGCTTATTAATCACAGTATCCTTTCATTTAGTCACTTGCTTTATTAATTAAGCCTGTCATCCTTAATGTGGCATAGGCCGCGGACCAGGATTCTCTAACGGACTCTGTCCCCAGCCTTCCAGTTCAGTTCTGTCCACTTGTTGTTCATACTTCTTATGTCTGTCTCTATTTATCGGCGTAATGTGTTCCTTGGCCTTAGTCTTTTTCTTTGGCCCTGAGGGTTCCAGGTGAGGGCTTGCCTTGTGATGTAGTTAGGTACTTTCCTCACTGTACATTATATCTACTTCCACAACTTCTTCCTGACTTCCTCCTCCACTGGAATCTGCCACATTAGGTTGTAGCTGACGGTGTTTGACCGACGGATCTAAGGAATCTTTCGCAGACAACTGTCAGTAAACAGATGTAAATTTTGGATGATGACTTTCATGGTTCTACAAATTTCCGTTCCATACATTAGAATTGTCTAGACATTCGCATTGAAAGTCGTTACTTTAATCGATAGTTGTTTTGAGTTGCAGGTGTTCTGCCATTGCTCTGCCCATCCGTGTCTTCACATGTGAATTAAATCCACTTTGTTGATCGAAGATACTGTCTGCACATGTAAAGGTTCCCACATCTTCTAGAGTTTTTCCGTCAAGGCTAATAATGTCAATAAGAGTGCTTACTGCATAGATGATGCAGAAATGTTGAACAGACAATAAACTTTATTTCAATGCATCTTTACTAACGATTATCAAACGCATCGGTTCCATAAACTATGGTATATTTTAATACTACTTAAAGTAAAAATTATAAATCAGTAGCTTTTATTATTGATATTACAAATGAATTCTTATGGTAATTTGCATACCCTATGAATAGGGATATTTTAACAGAGCATCTAAATAAAAACTGTTTATATATATTATTCGTAACTGAATCTCCTTCAGTAATGACAGTGATTCATTAACCGATTCCTTGGCTTATCGCTTTTCCGTGTATCGTTCATTTTTAATAATAAACTTTGATACAAACCGGAAGAAAACAAGATAATAAACTTTGTCTAGATCATTAATCATACGTCAAATACCTTTTTACTTAATGAGAAACTAATGTAAACATTTAAACAACCCACGTATTTAGTCGCACTTCAAATAGTTCAGTCATAAGATTTCAGAATTTGACAGTGTTCAACTTAAATTTGAATTTTATCATACAAAAAAAGTATTGGTTACCCTTATCATTTTAAATAAGTTATTGATTGTGTTATACTGACTGGCAGAGAGTTTCATTCTGTAGTTTCATGTCAATTATCATCTAACCACAAAATGTTACAGAAATCTGTTTTTCAAACTACTTCTTGTAATGAAAATATTACCGTGCATGACAATTATTTCTAAAATATCACTGATATTATTGGTAACAGACTATATGTATGCCCGAGGATATAAATACAGAATATGCTGTTACTGAAAGTGAACAGAAACTTAATGAATAAAAAAATCATTCTACCTAAAATAGTATAGACATTGTTATGGACATTATAGTACATTTATACACATTGATTTTATGATAAGACCAATGTACAAGTATTATGTTCATGAATATACTTAATGGAAATAACAAAAGTTATTTTAAATGATCACAAAAGTCAGAATTTTCAATTCGATTGTCAAGACAGTTCTACTTTATGCGGTGGAAACTTGGGGAATCACGAAGGCCATACTCTGGAAGATAGGAATATTTTTTAACAGTTTTCTACACAAAATACTTCAAATCCGTTGGCCAGACACTATCGGCAACAATCTACCAAGGGAAAGAACAAACCAGATTCAAGTGTAGGAAGAAATCAGGAAGAAGCGCTGGAAGTGGATAGGACTCACGTTGAGGAAAACATCCAAATGTATCACAAGGCGAGTCCTCAGTGTCTAAGGGAAGGAAGAAGGCTGAGGAAAAAATTACGCCAAGAAATGGAGACAGACATGAGAAGAATGAACAACAGTTGAATAGAAATAGGAAAGAAGGCTGTAGATAGAAATAGGTTGTATAAAGCTGGTTAGTGGCCTCTGCTCCATTGTTGAGTAACTTGTGTAAATAAGTAAGCAAGTAATTTTAAATAATCAAGACAAATGAATGGGAACTAACAAATCATAAGTTCCAATGCAGCTTCATCAACTGTCAATTGAATCATCCAGACATTCATACAAACAGCATGACATAAAGCTATATAAAAAATAAATCGACACATTTTTAACACTGACTTCTCTAAGCCTCAACAAATATATATGCACTATCCATTCCGGAAAAGAAATATATTGTCTGTTCTATAATATTTCCGCAATTTGTGCAGTACATACATTGTTCATAGGTTATTATAATTTATTTTGATGAGTTACAATAATACTACTAACTTGTGATAAGATCTACAACAACAACAACAACTACTACTACTACTGTGGTGCGCGCTACTTATAAGTAGTATATGACGTGAGTGTAAATGTAATGTCTGGCAGCAGAAGATAGGGGAAGATCAAGAAAGGAAGAGCGGGAACACAATGGAATTTGTATGAAACGCATGAATAGTGAAATGTCAGACAATGCATTGATGATGGATTGAAGATTTGCAAATTAACGGTTTACGATATTGTTTTCCTATTTTACTGAGTAACTCTGTAATTTTCGTTAAATACAATTCGGTTGCCCTCACTTGTGTTCTTCTTCACTACACTACTACTACTACTACTAACTGCATTCGCTTTTACATGAAAACTAGAAAAAAAATTCCAAACGGGAAAACTTATAATGAAACAAAACAGAACACTTAGTGCAAACTGCATTAAGTTGTGTAATGATGAACAAGATTCCACGTCATAGTTTTTCATTTTAATTACTATTCATTTTCTTGTTGTCTTTTTTAGTCTATCGTAATTATTCATAATTATATTTTCATTATAATCAAAAATATATTTAATCACACTAGACATAACATAACCTTGAGGCAATAACTGTCGACGATAGATGAACGGAATTAGTTTTAAAAATATACTAATTATTATTATTATTATTACTATTATTATTATTATTATTATTATTATTATTATTATTATTATTATTATTAGTTTAAACCACACCTGAAGAGAATCGGTATCAATCCGACAGTGTCTTTAAATTTGATGATTGATTTCAATAGTACAGTATGTGCACTTTGATTTTAAAATAATAACGATTCCGATTGTGAAAATTAGAACAACACATATAAATGAATAAATATTATTTTCAATTAGATAGTCATCAGGTTTTACGCTTATGTACACCAATATTGATATGAAAATGTTTAAACGATCAAGGCGATTTATAAGTCAATCATTATAATGAAATAGATTACGTAACTACACTCAGTAGGTGGAAGTACAAGTTGATAGCGTGAAGACAGGTGTACTGTTAGTGGTAAGAATAATAAAATGAAATACACTAACAAATATTTTTATCAGTACTTCAACATTAGAAGTAGTAGGTCGAACTTGGATAAACAGATTTAAAATAATAATCACAAAGCAATGTTAGAATTAAAGGATAAGAAATAGGTGTGTTTAATTATATCCCTTTCAAAAAATGTTCACAGTGGTAGTGGTTGTCTATCTCATCCGATTCTATAGTTTTAAATATACCTGTAAACACTCACTAACCAATCTTTTAAAACTGCCTTGTCAATTTCTGTTCGCGTTTACGGGTGATTTTTCTAAAGCAAGCACCGCGAGGAATCTTTTTTAAGTTCTAGTGCGAAGGAAGTAACCAATGGGGTCCAACCCTATTCGGGTGTGAAGCAGTACTCACCGAAGACAGTGTGCGAGGTTGCGCAAGACCGTGAATTGATCGAAGTTAAACATTACCACTGTTAGATGCCGGCTCAGTGGTCCAGAGGTTAGGCGTTCGCACGCAAGACCGAAGGTCCCGGGTTTGAATGCCACTAGATTCAGAGGTTGTTGATACGCACTACTGATGAGTCCCATTTCAGGACGAAACGGCTGTTCAATGCTTTCAGGTTTCTAATGGTGATCTAACATTGATCGACTCACGATTTCAAAAATTAACTCAACAGTCTCCATAGCGCATATCATAAATTATTTAGTGTAGTACACTTCTGCCATGAAAACATCAGAAATGTCAAATGTTTCATGTTTTTGTTAGCAAATAAAAACAACAACTGTCCTCACCTTTCACCTCATTCTTGTAGTTTTCACAGCATACTCTTTATCCTTCCATGTATTGATTATCATTGAAAAAAAGATGATTTTTTTGTTAAAGGATTTCATGAATTCGAAGATATTTTAAATACTGATTTGTTCATGCATTTCTATTTATAGGGCAAATAATGAAATCATGATAAAAATAATAGAAAAGTTATTTGCACTACTTACTTCATAATGCTTTCGATGCTTGCATACATTTCTGCAAAACAGAAAAAATAAAGGTTTACATTGTTACAAATACAAAATCTAACAAAATCGAATATATATTATTTTTCACTGTAACAACAAATACCCATGAAAGAATAAATAAATAATTATTAGTCAATAACAAATTACACATTTCCCAATAACATTCATCTCTTTTTTTTCATGATGCATGTTGTTGATGTTGTTTTTGTCTGGAAAATACATAATTTGTAATCAAAAGAAAAGCTTCAAATTAATAGATAATTCTTTAGACGAATCGTAGTCAACGGATGTTTTTCTATACATATCTCAAAATTTGTAGCTGTTCAAAGCTCAATTAGTTTTACGTTTTATATAGTTTCGTTTTTTTTACAAAAAGTGTCTGATTTATTTCATTTGCGTATTAGAGTATTATTCAGGTCGTTGTTTTTTCACATTGAAAGCATGAATGAATCATTTTTCTACCATTGATGGAAATCTGGAAGCAGTGGATGGTCGTTTCATCTTAGTATAGGACTCATCAGTAGTGGGCATCCCCAACTCCTACTACTTACAGTACTCGAACCCAGGACCTTCGGTCTTCAGCACGAATGCCTAACCTCTGGACCAGTTAGCCGGTATCCAACGGTATTGATATCTAACTCTGATCAACACAAAGGCTTTGCACAACCTCACCCGGTTGTCTTCAGTAGTTACTTCCTACACCTGACAGTATTGAGCTCCTCCGATCAGGTAGTTACTTATGAGCACGTTGTACGATTTTTACACTGTAGGATTATAGAGATCGTCATTTTACATTGAGATCTCGAAAGAATCATTTTCACACCACCGTTAGAAACCTGGAATCACTGGATGGCCGTTTCGTCCTAGTGTGGAACTCATCAGCACAAATAATATTCTACAAGCAATCTTGTCCTTATTTTGAAAAAAAGTTATTATTTAACTCTTATGAATTAGATAGCTTTATTGTTTATTGAAGTATACATTCTCAGTAGAATGTTAAGGTATAAGTTATAAACTTTAAAACTTAGTAAAGATATTCACTGAATTGCTTATTTTTCAGTTAGGAAAGAATGTAAGGTATGTGAAAATAATTATATGTCTTGTTAATTAGCTATTTCTAGTAGAAAGTGATACCAATAAGTAATCAAATATCAGCTTTGCTGCTTTACTGCTATGATACAATGTCTGTAATATATTTTTGGGAATATTTTGTTGAATAAATCAAATGTTCGTCAATCAATTAATTTCAAATATTTACACGTAACATTTACTGTTGAAACAAACATTGATCGTGGAAATTAAATATATAATTATATCGAACTGACTGTTCTAGCAAAATAAACTATACATTAATTACCACCACTAATCAATGTAAGTCAAACCATACTTGTAAGTGTCGATTCATTTTCAGTGTCTATGATATAATGATCTGCCCATGTATAAAATATGCTGACTATAGGTTTCATGAAACAGTGAAAACTCAAATGACAGAACGTTAACATAAAACTACACTGATCTATAAACTCTATAAAAACATTTTCGCGTTTAAAAATAAACCTATTGAAAATTAAATGTCACCAAAAGGTGATCTTTTCTCAAGGATAAATCAACAGAGATTAGATAGTGTAGTCCTCTGTAGAAACATTTGTCAAACAATAACTTCATTCAAGTAATTAATGCCTCAAACAGTGAATTTGTTTAGTATATGTGTTGGGGATGTTAGATCCCCAGAACTCGCTTGATAAATGCCTTATTTTGGATTTCACTTTTGCGAGCATGGGATGATCAGTTCACCTTGAGATTTCATTTCCCACCAGGCAAATCTTTGGTTGTGATTAGCTGCTGTGTATTTTATTGTGCTGATTTTGTAACTGTCCCAAGAACGTTTCTATGATGTATAAATAAACGAGAGTTGTGTGCTTGATTGTATTTTAATTGCTGGATGTTTGTAGAATATACTTTCTAAGCTTACAAAGCCTTTTGTATTCAGCTTGGGATTCAAGGTAGCCTACCTGCACTCTGGTAATTGTCTCGTTCGCGTTTATCGACTAAGGTGAACTCGCAATAACTTCAAGCTTGCCAAGTGACGAGCATAACAATATAATTTTGACATTTAATGCACTTTTCGTTGTAATGACATGATGGAAAGTTCGATCAGTATACATTCTAGCATGACTAACTGCATGAAAAGCGTTTAAAAACAACATCAAGTTATCTATCTTTATACAAATAAGTCTGAATAGTTTTAATTATACTTTAGCAGAGGTGGATAGTGGCTAACAGTGAAATTAATTTTTTTACGAACGTTTGTTTGATTAAACAAAATATTTTCCATAAATTTAAGACATTGAATCAACAGTCAAGCAATAAAGTTCTTATTTTCAAAATGATTACTCATTATGATGTCCACATACCTCTAATGTGAAAACTAGAGTTGGATAGTGACTAGCAATCAAGTCCAAGAAGCACGTTTTGTGTTATTTCGGACTTGTCAGATGGATTTACCTATATCTAAGAGTTAGTATTCATTTCCAGACTGGAACCAAGTATCTTCCGCTTTAAACGCCATAGCGTTGTTCACTTAGCTAATGAGTTCAGATAATTACTTACTTGGTCAGTGTTTATTTTAATCTTTCCATTACTATTTTGGAAAGCTATCGCTATATGTGCACCCTGTACAGAGTCTGAAAATGTATGACACACATTCTGGATCTCAGAGACTGCAGACCAATCATAGTTGTAAACCTCATTGGAAAGATTCAAATCATTAATACAGATAGAATAATTATCTTGTTTCATAGCTTTTAAAATAGATAACTAACAGACATTGACACTCACTTCTAGCACTAACCAGTTACTAACACGCTTGTTTCTTTCATAATTATCGCTATTAATCAAGTGTTGGGGACGTTGAACCCTCAGAACTCACTTGGAAAGGTCCAAATTTTGTAATTTATTGCTGAAATTTTGATTTTTGTTAAAAAATGTTTTCATGCTTAAGATACTCATTTGACCTACAGTTTACTTTTCACACTCAAAAAATCCTTGACTATCATTGGTTGATGGATTAGTTTAGTACGCTATGTTGTGACTCTCCCAAGAGTGTTGCTATCATTGTATAAACAAGTTTGCTTTGTGTGCTTGTGGACCTCGTATTTTTTGGGTGCTTGTAGAATACATTCCCTACTCCTTATCAAAACTTCTTGCTTTTTTTTGCCAAGGCCTTGGGACAAACGGATTAGAATAGCCTATCACGTCACTTTAGTCATTGTTTTCGTTCCGGTTACCGAGTTCGATGAGCTCGTAATAGCATTCTAGCATATCATGTTTTCATTTATGATTATCTATTCAACCTTTTCCTAATTAATTTGATCACATCGTCTCATTTATATTGGCATAATAATGTTTACTACACGTCATTATTTCTGATACATATCATCACTGATCATTAAATTTTTCATTAATTCATTATTTTAACTAATAAATAGCTGATTAACACGATAAGACTAATACTATTCTTGTTATCATGATAAACCTACTTTGTATTTTACATTTTTAAATATCTGTTTGTCTTATCTTATCATTTCATAATCACACTAAATGATTATTGTCTTGAAAATTTTGGTCTACTATTTTTTTTTCAGTATAATACAAAATTTCTTTCCTTAGATAACGTTATCCTATGTACGTGATATATAAATGTCCATATTATTAATCAATACAATGGGTATGTAATTACATCGCGTGCCACTGGATTCATATATATCCGGTCTACAGATGTCAGTTTATAAAATTATGATAAGATTTCCTTGTGCTAATAACATGCATCTGAAAAGCTTAGAGAAATATTGTCCTAGATAAAGACCTCTGTCAGTCAGTCAGATGCAACGTAGAACTTTGTACATAAGTACATCAGTTCATGTTGTTATACCACATCAGCACAGAGAAGTAATCGTCAATTCAAATCCAATAGTAGAAGAGGTAGTAAGGGAATTAGAAGTAATCGGAGAGGTTAGGATTGAGAAGATACTATTCAAGAAGTATGATTCAGTGAGAAAAGTTTAGAGAGTCGAAACTAGAGGGGTTGAAGAATCCAGAAGACCTCTGTACTGATTAATATATATCACCACTTCCCTGTCATATTACTGTGACCTCCAGTATATATATATATATGTACATATATATATATATACTGCTAAAAAGAAAGGTGTCGGATCTGGATATATGGCACAATCAGAGTGTTTCAAAGAGTCGAAGATGTGTAGAAGTAGGCAGCGAAAAATCTGTTTGCTTTGCATATAGAATGTAGAAGATATGGTGTGTACATTTCCCCTAATAAACTGTGTCTCCTACAACATAACACTGATTCCACCTGGTTTTACCTTCTGCGTTCACTATATATGTATATGTATCATATGAAAAAGAAGTTCTGATTATCTTGTACTGTTATGGAATACCATACACCTACAGTGAAAGTTTAAACAGGTTGAATCCGAACTGACTAATTGTAGCATTCATAAATTTTATTTTAATCACAATCAACATCATACATAATCTGGTTGTGTTTTAAAATATGGTCTGAAAAATTCCAGTTTGAGCCGTTTTTGAGTAGTATATACCTTTTTATCATAGAATAATAAATCATCATCATAACACGTTATCAATAGAAATTACCTTATATAATCGATCTCGCTCTACCATCTCTCTTCTACGTCTGCTTGCCTGTAAGAAAATATACAAAAAATGTAAGAAAATTGGGTAGAAATCAACTATTGTTTCATGTTTATGAAAATAATTACAAAACGCCAAGTGATTATACAATGTAAAAAAGTTGTTGAACCTAAAAAGCGATTCTTAACATTTGAATTCAACAGTCAATAAAAAAACCAACTGGACACCTAATCATAATGGTTGCGAACACTGATAAACTGTAAGTCAGTAAGTGAAATCTGTAAACAAGAATTCCATGTGAATAGTACGTTCAAAATTGAAGTTACATTTGTCGGTTTGTGTCCTAATCATACTATTCGATAGACTTAACATGAATTGAAATCTACTATTTAATGTTCTTGTGTTCAGTAGCCTGTAGGACTAAAAATACTTATTGAGTTATTGAATAGTTTCGTTCATGGACATTAACATTACAGTGTTTTGATCTAGCTTCTTTGGAAGTTTGTAGATTATAATTGATTTAAGTTAGACATTAACACCGTTAGACGCTGGCTAAGTGGTCCAGGGGTTAAGCGTTCACGCGCATGACCAAAGGTCTTGGGTTCTAATCTTGCTACTCTCAGAAGTCAAGGATGCACGCTGCCGACGAGTCCCATACCAGGACGAAATGGCTTTCCAGTGTTTCCAGGTTTCTAATAGTAGTCTAACATTGGTTGATACATGATTTCGAAAAGATCATTATTGAGTTGAAGATATGTAGTTGTATTTCGGCTTGCATAAATTTCAATCATAGTAATATCACACGAGTTTAAATTAATTCAAAATTAATGTGAACAACGTAAACCTCCAACTGTTCATCCTCGCTGACTTGAATAACTTTTTTTGTTATTTTACGACAGATTACAATATCAGCTAAAAGAATACGCATAATTGTCATACTATAAACCAATTTGGAACTTTTTGTAAATTCAAGATTCATTGTTGAATAATGTCCAGATGTGGGGTTGAGCTGACCGGTTATATTAGGGAAGAATATTTCATAAACTAGCAAAAGCGATTTACTGTTTTTATTAGAAGTAAATATTTCTGGTGTGATTATTTTCTCTCAACTTCAATTTATGGCTAGCTTCAGCATAAGTAAATTCAAGATTGTTTACATATTCAATGAATATTTGTGGTTTATCGAAAATCGCCATAGTATCGTAACTCCACACCGATAAGTAACAGTTTGAACCTTATAAGATGTTTTCCAAGAGAGTCGACTGCTACCAGATACACATTCAAGCAAGTTGTCACTTTAAGAATATCCAGTGAGATGATTTTATCACAGCGGTGAAAACGTTTAGATTAACATCTAATCTGACTGATAGATAAGTAAGTGCGTTAGGATTCACTTTAATGTTTGTTTGTTGAAATCAAATATTAGTTCTTTGAAATGATCTGACCAAACGTTGCAACAGCAGTATTAGGCTAAAGTAAAGTGTAAATTGGTTGACGGATCATCCTGGTACTTCAGAACAATGTGTTGATTTTTGAGCATTAAATTTGGGCTAACAACAACTTCTTTTGGTTACATATCTTTCTGCTAAATGCTGTAATTTTTTTGTTACTGAGTGGTAATCTGAACTAACTCATCTCTGTGATAAGTAGTCTGTTGAGCCTAGCTAGTTCAAATTTGAAGAATATAAATAATACTGTATGGTAATACTTCCTTGTTTGTACTCGAATTCAATTTATTCTGTATGGTCAGATTATATGATTGCTCTAGTTGCTCTGTCGATTAAGTTTGTCAAATAGAAGTCATGAAAACAACAGAAAGCAATTCATGATTCAAAGTTTACATGAAATTAAAAACGATCACTCTTCGTTTTTCATTAATTTACAGTTTATTTCTTAGTTGCATACTTCAGTCATGTCAATAATACAAATTAAGTAGGATTTTAAAAAAGGTTGAAAGCCGAATTTTCCAACCTACATATTCAGGTTTAATACAATAGTTCAGTAAGTATGGAACTTACTACTCATCATAGAATAAAAAATGTATTAACTACCATAAGAAGTATTATCTTTAGAATTTAAAGGGCACAAATGATGATATACTTTGTGAGGTAAGTTAGGTTTAATCCACAATTTAGAAATAATTCAAAATTCAAAGCTGCTGCGAAGTAAACTGAATAACTGTAATGTTATATATTATATTTTGAGCAAATATTTGACGCGTGATAGTTTGCCTTGAGTGCACATTGAATGTCTA